TGAGGTCTGGAGTTCGAGACCAGCCTGGCCAACGTGGTGAAACTTCATCTCTACTAAAAATACAAAAAAATTAGCTGGTGTGGTGGCAGGTGCCTGTAATCCCAGCTACTCGGGAGGCTGAGGCAGGAGATTGCTTGAAACTGGGAGTTGGAGGTTGCAGTGAGCTGAGATTGCACCACTGTACTCCAGCCTGGGTGACAGAGTGAGACTTCGTCTCAAAAAAAAAAAAAAAGATTAAAAAAAAAAGAAAAAAATCAACTCTGTAAAATGAAGCCCAGGTGCTGAAGAGTGGGAAGGAACCACAGAGAGCAGTTTCACAGACTAGGAAAGGAACTAGGGCCTTCAGGGAAGATCCTCCCCCAGACAGAGCAGCTCAGCAGAGGCCACACCAGGAGAAGAACTCAGCTCTGCCAACAGGGAACCTCCTCAGAGCTGGCTCTGGGCTCTGTAGAAAACAGGAAAACCTTGGCACATCTAAAAACGGGAAGGATGTCTACCTAAAACCAAGTAATGTTTAAGCAAATGGCTGGTCATTTTAAGCTAAAAATACTAAGATTCTAGTAACGAGGCCTAATATTTGCAAGAAAAAGCACTTATTTTCTATGAGACCTCAAAAGACTGCTACTTCTTTTTAGCTTTTTATGTTATGTTTTACATAATTTAAATCTTTTATTGTTCAAATTTCATCTACCAGTACTTGTGAAGGAAACGGCCCCTTTAGAATAGCTCCCATCTTACAGGAGGGAGGCATGTGCAGGGCCCTACTGTTGGGACTGTCTGGCTAGAAGCGACCAGTTCTATCACAGTGGGGTGTCGGGAGTTCAGATTGCAAAACTCAAAGGCAGGTTGTCATTTGAAGCTCAGCTGCACGACAGTAAAAGAGGTTTGAGATTTGCAGAATGTGTGTCTAAGCCCTTTTTTGCTGGCTCTACCTATTGAATTAATACTATTTTCTTAATGAAAAGCAGCAGCAGGTGAACTAAAAATAAAAACTGGGTTCTCCCAAATAAAACGACGATGTTTATTTCTTCTCTTTTGGTGCCAAAAACAAAGAGCTTAATTGCCCATAAAAGACAAATTGACAGCTCACAGATTCTGACTAGTTGATAATAGCGATGGTGATAATAAATAATAGTCTACAGCAGTGTTCTTAAACTTTCGAGCACATAATCACCTGGGGCTTTTTAGAATGTAACTCCGATTCAGGGGGTCTGAAGTCAGGGGGCTGAGATTCTGCGTTTCTAACAAGCTTCTAATGCTGCGGGTCTGTGGGCCACACTTCGAGTAACAAAGCTCTACATTTGACAGGAAGTTTTCTTGGTAGCTCTTTAATCAGTCCAGGTGGAAGGGAATCTGTAAGTCAAGAGGCCCTTTAGGAACTCATCTTATTCCAGCATATCAGCATATCAACTGGGCCAATCCTTTTTTTTTTTTGAGGTGGGGTCTTGCTCTGTTGCCCAGGCTGGAGTGCAGTGGTGTGATCTCGGCTCACTGCAACCTTCGCCTCTCGGGTTCAAGTGATTCTCCTGCCTCAGCTTCCTGAGTAGCTGAGAGGCACCTACCACCATATCTGGCTGATTTTTGTTTTGTTTTGCATTTTTAGTAGAGACAGGGTTTCACCATGTTGGTCAGGCTGGTCTTGAACTCCTGACATCAGGTGATCTGCCCACCTCGGCCTCCCAAAGTGCTGGGATTACAGGCATGAGCCACCGTGCTCGGCCTCAACTGGACCAATCTTGATGCACAAAATAGCACTCTGCCAGGTAATGTATCATATGTCACCCAAAATGTAACTAGCTATCAAGCTCATGATGACTGTTTGCTTCTGAACTTTTTGAGAAATGTTTGCCACTTGCCTGGCACACTGGAAACTCAACAAATGCCTGTAGCATAAGGGAATAAATGAATGAACAGAAGGAAGGAGGACAAAACTCAGTGAATCTGGCTCCCTGCTGGCCTCTGTGTGTATTGAGACCATCTTGTAAAGCTTTCTACTGGTCATATTCTGAGACGAGGGGAACAATACAAAACCATCAGCAGACTGGGGGAGACAGGATCGGGGTGAGGGGGGAGGAGGAGGAGGAAGAGGAAAAAACACGGGCAGCAGCTAACTGTTGGAGATAACTGAGTACCAGGCATAGTGTCAAAGTCCTTTGCATGAACTATCTAATTAGTCATAAAACCTCTGTGAGTTACAAATTAGAATGGTTTCCCTTTTATAAACTGGGAAACTGAGGCATGAGAAAGTAAGTAATCCAAGTTAATCCAGTTAGTTAGGAGGGTTCAGGGCCTGCTCCACTGAAGCCTCAGCATCAAAATCAAATCCTCAGGGCAGCACAATTGGCTGCGCTACCAGCCACAGTAATCTCTGACCCCACTTTTTCGCTAGGTTTTGCAAGTAGGTAACACCCACAGATTGGCTTGACTCTGCAGCCTCAATAAATTGGATGTACACATAGTTCAAAAGTCATAACCGTTACTTTTGTTTTCAGTTTTTGAGACAGGGTCTCACTATCTCGCCCAGACTGCAGTGCAGTGGTGCAATCTCGGCTCACTGCAACCTCCACCTCTCAGGCTCAAGCGATTCTCCTGCCTCAGCCTCCTGAGAAACTGGGATTACAGGCAGACACCACTACTGCCCGGCTAATTTTTGCATTTTTAGTAGAGACAGGGTTACACCACATTGGCCAGGCTGGTCTTGAACTTCAGACCTCAAATGATCCTAGCCTCCCAAAGTGCTGGGATTACTGGCATGAGCCACCGTGCCTGGCCATAACCATTATTTGGCCATTTTTATTATACTGATATACCCCAGCACTGGGCTCCACATTTGCTAGCTTTGTCTGATGGTTTTTTAAATTGAGGAATAAAACAAATAAGCATAATGAATTCTAATATGACAATTTTTTTGAGGGGCAAAAGCTTTTAAAAAGCTTCAAGAACATACAAGGAACTCACATACCCCTTTACACAGAAGGATCAATTGTTAGTATTTTGCCTTATTTACTTGATGAATTGTGCTCATCTTTCTCTGGCTCTATCTGATATACATATACGTCGCTATTTTTTTTTCTTGGATCATTTGAGAACAAGTTATAAACATGCCCCTTTATTCCTAAATACACTTGTGTTAATTCCTAAGAACAGGGGTCCCCAGTTTGTGCTCTCCTTATGAGAATCTAATGCCTGATGATCTGAGGAGGCAGTTTCATGTCATCCTGAAACCATCTCCCCAACCCAGGTCTGTGCAAAAATTTTCTTCCACGAAACTGGTCCCTGGTACCAAAAAGGTCGGGAACCACTGCCAAAGAACAAGGCCATTCTCTTACATGATCACAAGCCAATGATCAACTTCAGGAAATGTTAATGTTAATATAATACCTTCATCTCATTTACCATCCACATCCATTGTTGCCATTTGGCCCAGTGATGTCTTTTATAGCCTGACCACTATGTTTTAATGGCTGAATGCATATTAAGAATTGATATAAGTAATTAAGAATTAATATGAGTAGAGTGCTTTGGTATTTAGAAAGCCCTTTTGCTACATTAACTCATTTGTTTCTTGCTTTGCCTCTCTGAGGTCGGGCAGCAGCTCTATCCTTGGTTGACCCAAGATAGAAATGAGGCTGAGGGGACGTCAAATCCAAAGCAGTGCTCAGCCCCCATTCTCCCCTCACACCACTGGTTGGTGTTTATTTTAAAGACTTTGTTTTAGTGCCAGCCAGCAGACTGGCTACTAACCCAAACATTTTATTTTTTGAGACAGGGACTCTTGCTCTGTCTTCCAGGCTGAAGTGCAGTGGCATGATATTGGCTCACTGTAGCTTCAGCCTCCTGGGCTCAAGTGATCCTCCTGCCTCAGCCTCCCACGGAATTGGGACGACAGGTGTGTATCACCACACCTGGCCGATTTTTTTATTTTCTGAAGAGATAAGGTCCAGTATGTTGCCCTGGTTGGTCTCAAACTCCTGGGCTCAAGCAACCCTCCAGCCTCAGTCTCCTAAAGTGCTGCGACTACAGGCAGAGCCACCTCACCTGGCCCCCTACAGTTTAAATTCCAAAACTAAATGAATACAGTTCAAATGCTTATCTCTCTAACCAAAAATAAATGAATATTGTTTGGGTGCTTTTGCTTCATGTTAGCATTACAGATTCTAATTATCACCTGCAGCTACATATTCGGGAAGAGTCCTGAACTCCCCAGGGTCTGAGAGCTTGGTATTAGTTGGAAGGACCCCGATGGGCAAGTGGGGGTGTCTGGCCTCCTCAGCACCCACCCAGTCTGTTTTGTGGAGCCCACCACTCATGCCAAACTTGAACCCCCAATTGGCAAAGGATCCCCAACTGCAGGCTTGATTTGAATGTAGAAAGCCAAGACACACTAGGTGGTCTCTTCTAGTGCACAGTGAAACATTAGTTTGGGGGCAGGGAGGCAGTTTCCCAATCCTCAGTACTAGCCTAAAAGAGAGACAAACTCATGAACCTGACTACTGAATAGAGAAGTACTGGTTTTGAAAATGGAACTCTTGGGATTCAAATCATCACTCTTCTATTTAGTTCATTTGCCTTGGGCAAGTTACCTGGGTCTCAACTCTATTATCCCTACACCCAGATAACAACACACAGCAACCAGAAATGGAGTGAGGTGGCCAGCACAGATTCCAGCATGCAGGAGGCCTCTGGATCCTGATGATTCAAAGCACAGAAAGCCTCCTCCAGAGTATGGCCCCCTGCAGCGTGAGCCTCTGCCATTCACACAACCCGCACACAACCCTGAGGGAGCCAGGCACAGCCAAGTTTATAGATGTGAACACAGTGTCAGCAAGGTCAGGAGCAGAGGTTAAAATTCTGCATGATTCACTGACAGTCAAGAATACAAAACAACCGACCGTCTTTTCAGTAAGGGCTGTCTCTGGTGACAGGAAGGTGAATTTTTCCTATATGTGGCCCTCTGTTCTCAGTTTGTGAATATGGGGCAGAAAGAGCAAAATATTTACCTTTTCCAAGGCCTCTCTGTCAAGCAGTTCTTGCACAGCTAGAAGCTTGATGCTGTAAGAAAAAAATCAAAACCACACTTGAAAACTAATCATTTCATGTTACCAAGGATCATCGAACAAGTCACAGAACAAAAGGCTGAGATGTCATCCTGCATTTCCGTGTCACTTCCCATCTTAAGGTGACCTTTTGCTTAAATCAAAATGACCGTTTTGAAAGTATTTAAAAGGTTTCTAAATTCTGAAAGTAATTTTTACCATATGATCCACGAATTTCACTTTTAAGTATATTCCCCAAAGAATTGAAAGCAGGAACTTGAATAGATAATTGCATGCCAATGTTCATAGCAGCATTATTCACAACAGCCAAAAGGCAGAAACAACATAAATGACCATCAACAGATGAATGAATAAGCAAAATGTAGTACATACACTTAATGGACTATATTACTGAGCCTTAACAAAGGGCATTCTGATACACGCCACACTGAGGATGAACCTTGGAGACACACTAAATGAGATAAGCCAGTCACAAATACTATATGAACCCACTTACACGAGGTATCTTAGAGTAGTCAATTTCACACAGACAGAAAGTAGAATTGTCAAGGGCGTTTGAACCACAGCGATTGCATCTTGAATAGGGGCTGGGTAAAGTGAGGCCGAGACCTACTGGGCTGCATTCCCAGGAGGTTAGGCATTAAGTCACAGGGTGAGACAGGAGGTCAGCACAAGGTACAGGCCATAAAGACCTTGCTGATAAAACAGGATGCGGTAAAGAGGCTGACTAAATGACTAAAACCCACCAAAATCAAGATGGCCACAAAAGTGACCTCTGGTCATCCTCACTGCTCATGCGCTAATTACAATGCCTTAGCCTGCTAAGAGACACTCCCACCAATGCCGTGACAATTTACAGGTGACATGGCAATGTCAGGAAGTTACTCTACATGGGTCTAAAAAGGGGAGGAACGCTCAGTTCCAGGAATTGACTCTTTCCTGGAAAACTCATAATCTACCCCTTGTGTAGCATATAATAAAGAAATAACCATACAAACAGCTAGCCATTCTTTTTTTTTTTTTTTTTTTTGAGACAGTCTCTGTCACCAGGCTGGAATGCAGTGGCTTGATCTTCGCTCACTGCAACCTTTACCTCCCCAGTTCAAGCCATTCTCCTGCCTCAGCCTCCCAGACAGCTGGTTTTATAGGTGTGCGCCATTATGCCTGGCTAATTTTTGTATTTTTAGTAGAGATGGGGTTTCGCCATGTTGGCCAGGTGGGTCTCAAACTCCTGGCCTGAAATGATCCACCTGCCTCAGCCTCCCAAAGTGCTGGGATTACAGGCGTGAGCCACTGCATTTGGCCCTAGCCAGCCATTCTTTATTTCTTTACTTTACCAATAAACTTGCTTTCACTTTATAGATTCGCCCCAAATTCATTATTGTGCAAGGTCCAAGGACCCTCTTTTGGGGTCTGCATTGAGACCCCTTTCCGGTAACAGAATGGTGCTTTATCAGGGACTGGGAGAAAAGGAGAATGGAGAGGTATTGTTTAAAAGATATGGAATTACATTTGGGATTAAGAAAAAGTTCACAGTGGCTTATGCCTGTAATTCTAGCACTTTGGGAGGCCAAGGCAGAAATGCTTGAGCTCAGGAGTTTAGGAGCAGCCTGGGCAACATCACAAGACCCCATCTCTACTAAAAATACAAAAAATTAGGTGGGCGTGGTGGTACATGCCTGTGATCCCAGTTACTCGGGAGACTGATGTAGGAGAATCTCTTGAGCCTGGGAGGTCAAGGCTCCAGAGAGCTGAGATGGCGCCACTATACTCCAGCCTAGGCGACACACTCCATCTCAAAAAATAAAAATAAAAAAAAAAAAAAGAAAAAGAAAAGAGAAAGTTCTAGAGACAATGAATGGTGGTGATGTTACACAATAACATAGATGTACGTTATGCCATGCCATTGAACTATACACTTAACAAGGGTTAAAATGCTAAATTTTATTTATAAACATTTTGCCATAAAATATTCTAAAAGTATCTGACAGCCACTTACTGTAAGGAATTTGAATATATTCAGACGAATATAAAGAAGAAAACAGTCACCCAAATAGCTAAAACCATTGCTTGCAAAAGGACCCTGCTCAGCCACTCATTTGTTTTCCAAACACTGGCAGAGCCCTACTGTGTGCAGGTGACCGAGGATCCGTGATGGCTATGGCATTCCCTGCCTGGAAGGCACTCATGGCCAGTCCAGAATATGATGTACTGTATGCCAAGCAGGTATACAGAGATGCAGAGAGGAGCCAGGCCCAGCTGAGGCCAGAGAAGGATTCCTGGAGGGACCCGGTTAGCTTTGTCAGGGAAGGGGGCTAGGAAAAAAGGCAATCGCAGAGGAGGTCTCCAGAGGCACCAAGGGGAGAGATGACTTGCCGGTTTCCAGCGCAGGTGCCTGAACCGAGGCTATGGCCAGCAGCCAAGGTGACAGAACTGAGAAGTGCACGCGGGTTGACAGGGGAGGTATTTTCCCCTTTTTGACATGTTGCTCTGAAGTGTTCGTGGACACAGTGAACAGGTGGTCAAGCCTATGCGGGAGGCCTGGGCTGCACTCAGCACACAGTAAAAGCATGCGAGCTCCAAGGGACTGTTTAGGGAGTGGGTCAGCTGTGGATGGTGTCACGGCACTCCCTGCCCACCCAGCTAATGTGCTAATGGTCACTGGCCATTTCCTCCCCACTCCAGCAACCTGCACAGGTTCTGCAGAAAAGAAATGGGCCCACTCTGAAGCACATGCCTCCCTCCAAAGGGATTAGGCAACTTTTTCTTTTTCTTTTCTTTTTTTTTTTTTGAGACAGGGTCTCACTTTGTCACCCAGGCTGGAGTACAGTGGCACCATCTTGGCTCACTGCAGCTTTGACCTCCAGGGTTTAAGTGATTCTCCTGCCTCAGCCTTCCACGCAGCTTGGACTACAGGTACACGCCACCATACCAGGCTAATTTTTGTATTTTTAGTAGAGATTAGGTTTCACCGTGGTGCCCAGGCTGGTCTCGAACTCCTGAGCTCAAGTGATTCACCTGCCTTGGCCTCCCACAGTACTTGGATTACAGGTGTGAGCTACCACAACTGGTTAGAATTAGTCAATTTTTAAAGTTGGCCTTAATTTGTAGACTTCTTCATACCCTTTGTAAAACTAAGCAAACACTGTCTCACCAAATTCAATGGCTAATTTAAAAGCAGTTTCAAGAAGAGCAATAAAAGTTTTCAAGGCTTATAAGAAACCACCACCACCACCACCAACAAATTAGGCCTGGTGCAGTGGCTCACGCTTGTAATCCCAGCACTTTGGGAGGCCAAGGTGGGTGGATCATTTGAGGTCAGGACTTTGAGACTAGTCTGGCCAACATGGTGAAATCCCATCTCTACTAAAAATATAAAAATTAGCCAGGCATGGTGACAGGCACCTGTAATCCCCGCTATTCTGGAGGCTGAAGTGGGAGAATCGCTTGAACTCGGGAAGCAGAGGTTGCAGTGAGCCAAGATTGCGCCACTGCACTCCAGCCTGGGCAACAGAGTAAGACTCAATCTCAAAAGCCAACAAAACAAAACAAAACACACATACACAAAACAGCAAAAACAAAACAAACGACAAATTAGGAAACATCCAGGCTAATGGACAAGAGCGTGGGCGTTCTCTCTGCTCCAACCCTGTTGGCTTTTGTTCCATCTCTTAAGCAGGTTTGCTTTTGCTGCTTCTCTGTCTTGGAAGGGTCTTCCCCAGGATCTTTCCAACACTATCTGTCTCATCCCCTCATTCCAGTCTAACTATGAATGCCATCTCCTCCAAGCAACCCTTCCTGGACACCTGAGTTAAACCAGCATCCCAGATCACAATATGCTATTTTCTTCAGTGGAATTTGTGCTACCTTGAAGCATGTGTTTATTGGGGTGCTTCTGTCTGTCTCCTCCCAAAAAGTGTGGAAGCCCCTTGAGGCTGGGGACTCAGACATTCTTGCTTATTACATTTGTGGTGTCGACAACTGGCACATGGAAACTTGCAAGGAATTTATTTGCTGACCAGGCCTGGAGGCCGTCAGGCCAAGTTGCTATCATAGCTCACACATTCCAGCCTGAATGGGTAATAGCAAAGGCCATGCCTCAGTTTCTCCTTCTGAAAAGAATGCCTCAAACAAGATGACTGGGTGGATCCTCCCTTGGCGAAAGGTGCTACCTGCATGTATGTAACTTAATGCTATTCATGAAATATGGCTCCTGGCAGGTCAAGGATATTGGCCACTTCTCAGCACATTCTGATTCCCAGTGTGCAAATCCAGATTCCAGGTTACCAATTGGACAGCAACTTATATGCTAAGTTAGGACTATGCAATTGTAGCTCAAATTTCATAAGCTTAAGCTGCCTCTGAAATAACCATGATAAATATTTACACTGGAGGGACTTTTCAAATAGTCTCCCATTCCTGCCCCTTTTATGGTCATGAAGTCCAATTTAGTATCAAGTATCAGATGGCAACAGTTTAGAGAAAAGGTCTCAACACTGTTAAGATATTCAGCTCTATTTTTCTCCCTACTATTCACTAAGATACTACAAGCCACAGCAGAACAAGATTTGAAAACCAACAATTTCAGGCTCTGAAATGAAAATGACATTAAAATAACTTCAACTGACTCTAACTGAAGTCAAAACCTGAAGGATGCCACACTCTGCTCTCATCACTTACTGTCCTCTAGAACACACACGACGCAGCCTGGCACTCACAGTGCTACTCTCCAGCCCCGAAACCTCCACGGAACTCTCCCCACTGAACTTAGATTCAGCTTCCAAATCCTTCTCAACACTCCAGTGAGCCACAACCAATCTACTGCAATTGGCATATAAGATAAAAACCTATTTATCATCTGCTCTAAAACTAATACCAAATAGTATCAGTGCATTAGGAGTAGGGAGAGGGGCAAAAACAAACAAGCAAAACCCAGAGACATTCTTACACTACTAAAACCCAGCAACGCAAAATGGGATCGCTTTAGGGGCAAGG